GGGCGAATCGCAATAAATATCTTTGCAATTTTCACAAGTCATAAATTAGGCAATGGAGGAATTTGTTTTCCAATTACACATATTTCACACCGCATGCCAAAAAATCGAAATTGAATGCTATTTTCTATTTTAATAATTTATAACGCGCCGCAGCCGCTGCAGCAACAAGTACAAATTGTCAAAAGCGTTTTGCATCAGAGGCGCGGAGGCCCACCCATGGCGACGGTCCCGGCCACGGTACCGGCAGCCGGCAGCGGGTACTGCCTAACCCGATCCTTGCCCCCGGGACCAGTGCCACGCGCTCTTAACGAGTCACAAATTCACGTTGCAATTGCCAGAGTCGACGCAGCGACCCATCGTAACTTCTCGGCCAAACAACAGCAGAGCGTGGAGCAGAGGCAGCAGGCTAAGAGAGTGTACGGAGCGGGGGGAGCGGGATATACCAGTTCATGGCTGCCCACCCGCCTAGCCGTGGCAGCCACCCAACCAGTCGCTTATTTTTGCGTATTAACGCGCGAAATAATATTTTATTTTGACCATCGTCAAAGGATTGAAAAATGCACACTAATATCTTTGGGTCTTTGTGACGGCTTTGTGCGGGCCACACTGTCAGCCTGTTCGTTCGTGCTTGTGCGTGTGTGTCCAAGTGTATGCTGCACTCTGTTGCCTGGTGTTGCAAGCAACACACAGTAGTTATGCTTAGCTTTGCCATGCATAAATCTTTGTTGTTTGATTTTTTTCTTTTTAATTTGATAAATATTTCAAGCGAAACAACGGAAACTTATAAATTATCTAAATAAATAGCTAAAGAGAATTAAATAAATAGCTGAAATATATTTGTGCCGAAACAAATAATTTGTGGCTGCAGAGGTATGCACATCTGGTAAATGGAACGTACTGCTAAGCCCTATTCGTAAGTAGTTTTAATATGTTAAGTATATTATTTATCCAATGTAGTCTTTTTCATCATATTTCAATTCCCTCATTCAAATAATAAATATTTTCAAGCATAAAGGGTATTCATAAAATATATTTATTTTTATTTGCTATTTATATGCTTTATATTTTGATTTTTGTATTATATCTGTTGTTTTATTATTTATATAAATAATTTAAAATAATAATTTGAAATAATAATTTGAAATATTTAAATAGATATCATTATAAGGAAATTATCGAAATTTTCCCAAATAATCCTATATTACTTAAGAACTCAATTAGTTGCGGCAAGTTAACACCACAAAAGTGAGTAATTTTTGCCAGATGGTATGCCCCAAATATACATACGGATTATTGCATTAGTCGTGGTTAACTCTAGGCCATGCTGGATACACGTAATTCGACTAATTTTCCATAACTCATTTACAGCTCGTAAAGATAATAATTTGCAGTACGAAAAGTAGTGCGCGGACACACCTTCGATTCTTCAAGCCAAATTCCCACGTTCTCCAGCACCGCAGAACGAATCAATCATTTGCCTAGCCAGATTCCAGTTCCCAGTTTTGTAGAGAGACTGACTAAAAGAGAGAGAGAGAGAGAGAGGGGATGGGGCGGGTTGCAAAATGATCGCATGGCATGCAAAATAGTTGCAACCGTTAACTCTGACGGAAGGTGGCAACACTGCGGATTATCAAGCCAATTGGTCACAAAATCTTAACACCTACAGCGAGTCCAAGGCTGTGCTGATCATCGGATGATCATCTGATCAGATGATCACTCAGTGGCGGCCATTAAAGTCAAATCATTTTTCACATTTAGATATTGGCCGCGGGGCAGGCACAGAGAATCTACACCCACTCCCTGCCGTTCCACCGTCCGTCACAGTCAGTCGGCACAATTGAAGGCAGACTCGAAATCGATCCATCCCAAAATTGCCGCGATCACGATTTGGAAAAATATGTTCAACTGCAGCAGATCTTTCAAACTGCAGCTCTGCCTGCGCCGCTTACATAAAAGTAATCAAATCAACACCTTCATCAACTCCTTTGGATACGCTTGCCCCAACCGCAAAAAAATAGCCAGGAAAGAACGTCTATCTGCTGCAGACCGTTGATGAAATACCCTTGTACACATGTGCCTTACGATTTTACAGTTATGTGCAGAGAATTGAACAATTTTCCATACCGATATTTTCTATATGACATACTTATCCCATTTGAATAACCCCCAAAGATCTATTGAAACACAAATTAGTATTTCATGCCACAAGATAATTTTCATCCGATCACTCCTTAGGCATATGATATAGTGGACCGATCCATAGGTTTTAGTTTCTTGACAGTAGGCTTAGAATGAAGAGAATATATATATATAATCTTTATGTAGTCGTTAATTCCTTCTCTGCGTTACACATTTAGTGACGAAACCGTGAGACTCTCTGCAACGGTTTAAAAAAAGTGCCTTCCTTATTTTGTGCTGGCAATTTGGACTCACGGCTCGAATCGCAAAGCAATCTTTCTTTATTTTTTTATACCCTTGTTTTTTGTACTTTTGCTGCACTTTTTTCGGCTTGTTTCGGTGGCGATCGCCTGTCGATCAAATTGTTGTTTTCGATATCTAATTTGTCATTCGGCAACGGCAGCGACGGGCCGCAAGACAGCCGCAATTTGTTCATGCAACAACTGTGCAACTGGCAACTGGCAACACGCTGTCTGCGTTGCACGATCCTTTCGAACTTGGTTCGGAGTTGCTTGCAGCAAACTAGGGAATCCCGGCATTATGTGCGACGATTATCTTGTCGGCGCGTGAAATTTTCGTGGCGTTGAGGAATTGACCTGCAATTGATACCAATCCATGGCAATCCATTACAGAGGCTAAGCGCGCGAGCTGCATGTCTCATTATTGGCAATTTTGGAGCAGTACGGGGTAATTGGCCAAGCCCCATGCTCATGCCCATGCCCATGCCCATGCCCATGCCGAGGGTCATTTGTATAGAGGTCGTAAGCGGGGTTCACGCCTCAGCTGCAGCATGACTTGAGCATTTATTTTGCAACACATAGGATATGGTGGCAGAGAGAGTGGGTGAGAGAGAGAAAGAGAGAGAGAGAGAGAGAGAGAGTTATGAGAGTTAGAATATAATCAATTGCAAAAAAGAATCCTCTTTGTTATTTCATGTATTTTTTATTAAACAAAATTACTTTAACTGACACTGGATTTCCATATCGAAATTATCAAAAACAAACAGTTTTTACGTTTTCGTTTAAACTAATTAATACTTAAATATATATATATATATAAATATGCTTTTTCTTCGATTGCCGCAATCAACATTTTTGCATAATGCGGAAATTTTATATTTGGCTGTACTTTATGAATGTCAATTTTGATTCACACACATGCATATATACACACACATTCATACACATTCCCCCACCCTCTCGCTCTTCCACGACTATCAACTGTGATAAGGTTTTTATATATATATGTGTACTTGATCTATGTCTATAGCTGCACTTGCTCAGCTCTACGGTGTATATGCATATATTTACCATTCGGTTGACATTTATTATCAATTAATTTACATATTTCGCACCTCGAAATTGTATTTACACGCGCTCATGCGATGCTTTTTAATAACTAACTGTAATTTTTCAATTATTATAATATATAGTTTTATATTTTATTTACACAATGTTTGCTTATCAATAATGCGCAAATACTCGACAATGAACGAAAATTACGAACAAATTTTTATTGGTTTTTATTAATATTATTATTAATTATTTGCTATACTTTTTAAAAGGTTTAACACAATATTATGTACAAAACTTTGGCTGCAGTTGCTGTTGAAAAGTATTAAAAATGAGAATGCAATTCATTGAAAGACAAAATGAAATCTATTTAAACTAAATAGATTTGTGATAAAGTAATTCAAGTCTGCTTTGTATCCATACCAAGTTATATCAGGATATATCCCAAAAAATAAAAAGAATAAAACTCCACAAGAATTTATTTGATATGGCTTTCGTATATTTCGTCTTCTTCTTTATAAAAAAATAATAAATAATTATTAAACAATTTAATAGTAAAAGGAAAACAATAGAAACTTTCTTTAAAAACGCAATTTTTATTATTATAAAATATATAAAACGTTTATATTTATACATATAAATAAAATAATGCTTATTCTATTAGATCGTTTTAAAACTGAAAACTTGCACTGAATTGGTATTGCCCGCATTTTTTTTAAAATTGTTTATAAAATATAAAAAATTAGCTAAATTTTGCAGTGTAAAATAATGAAAGTAAAATTTATATTTTCGTTAAATTTTTGCCACATCTTTGAGACATGGCTTGGAGCAGTTGAGAATTTGATTTTCTTAATTTCCTCATGATATTTGATTTTATTTTTTTACATTTTACTTAAAGTAAAATAAAGTAAAAAAAATTGCTAAAGCACACACAAAATATAATTGCCACACATAAAGTAAAAATATATTTTTGGTATAATTCTGCAAACCACTGGGAGATTAGAGTTTAAAGTACACTATAAAACGCATAGACCTATATAGTTATAGCTGTCTAGTATATATAAATGTATATATATATAGATGTATAAATATATATATATATATATGCTACAAGAAATACATAAATATTTTGCCTAACATACATTTACATTTGTCTTTTTTGTGTATTTTATTTGTTATATTTCGTTTGTGGTAGGGTATATCAAGAATTTTACTTTAGTTTAGTTTTCATTTGATTTAAAAATTAAGTAGAACTCAGTGCCTTTAAATATTATACAGACATATAGTAGAACTGATGGACGCCCAAAGAAAAAAGAGAATTCAAAAATCTTTAAGCGTTAAACGTTAAGGATTTATTTTAATCTTTTTCTTCTTCTGGTACTGTTAACCAGGGAGCAGCTTTGTATCTACAAGATACAAAACCACATTTGGCTGTCAGTTGTGGGCGCCTGGGTGAAAGTTGAAAATTGTTTATGTACAAGTTACAACAACTAAAGGAGATTTTAAAACAATTAAGCTACACGATTCTCGTTTCTTGTTTTTGTTTTTTTTTTTACATTTTTCATTAGAGATTTTTTTTGTTGGTTTTTTGTTTTTTTGTTTTTTCAATATGCATAAATAATTACACTACTTGACATCCACAATGAGAGGAACTTCGCTGATATCGATTAAATTTGGCGGCGATGGCAGCGACTGTTGCTGTTGTTGCTGGGCTGTCGCGACGGCCGTTGCTGTCGGTGTGGACGATGCCGACGACAGCGAGCCAGCTGAGGACGAGGAGGAGGCCATGACCGCTGCCGTGGCCAACTGCTCATGGCTATTGCTGTTGTTGCTGCTGTGGCTGTGGCTGCTGTTGCTGCTGGCCAGCAGCAATCGCTGGTGGTGTTGTTGCAGGCACTGATTTGCATTGACAGCGGCAGCGGCCATCATCATAGTGGCTGCATCGCAGTAATTAGACAGCATTGTTGTTGTGTTCACTGCCGCTGGCATTGTTGTTGTTGTTGTTGCAATTGCTGCTGGTGTCACATATGCAGCAGCAGCAGCTGTTGCATGGGCCATATAATCGCTGCTGCTGCCGCTGCCATTGCTGCTGCAGCCGGCGCCAAGAAAACCGCTGGCGTTCATGTTGTTGTTGCTGTAGTTGCTGATTTGCTGCTGATTGCAAACGCTGTTTAGGCTGTTGTTGCAGTTGTTGCCGCCGTTGCCGCCGTTGCCGTATGTTGCATGCATGGCAGCAACATTGCTGTGATCGTGGCTGTGATTGCCAGCAACAGCAATGCCCCCACACCCATCGCTGCCGCTGCCGTCGCCGCCGCCGCCGCCGCCAATGTTGCTGTTGCTAGTGATGTTGTTGTTGTTGCAGGGATTGATGTTGAGCGTAGTGTTGCTATGATTGGCTGCCACAGCGGCCGCCACAGCTGCGGCTGATGATCAAGTTGTTGTCAATTGGCGCCACATTGTGTGTCACATCGAAGGCAGATAGGGCCAAGAGAAACTGTTGCCGCTCAGCAACATGTCGCGTATCAGCGTTTCGATGGGCGTTTTGCCGACTAGACGCACAAAAAACAACTGCTCAATGACCTGGTGAATAGAAAAGCAGAAGACGAAAGAAATCAGCATGTGGATTATGTGGGTGATAAAGGGTTTTGGGTGATTTTTATAACTATCATGAATTCGAATAAGTATTCAAATCTCAAGATCTTTGGTTTTTTGTGCTGTGTCACGAAGAGCACAGTGCTAGGTCTAGCTTATCAGCTAATATACCAGATTACATAGTTACATAACTCAGGATCTTTTATATATTTAAAAGTTAACTTAAATCAAAGTTACAGCTCTATAATAACAGCTCATATAAGGATTCTATTATTTGAAATTGTATTGACGCCAAGTTTCATTATTTTGCCATAGATGTTACTTACTTGTGAGGAGACGGTACGCAAAGATGGCAATCTTAGTAGCAATTTGCCAAATCTCGTGGGCTGATTCGGATACTGCGTTCGACAATATTCCTCCAACGCGCACTGAGACTTTTCTTGCAGGGATTCAATGTGTGTCACATCCGACAGACCGCAGGCATCTAAAAAATAAGTAATAAGCAGAAATTAGTTTAAAACTCCAGCTCTAATCGAACTCAACAAAGACAAATGAGGTTTTGTGTATGTGCAGTTCACCTGGCGCTGGGCCAAAAAAATGTACGTATTCCAGCGAATCGGCGTCCAGCGTTCACTTCAAAAGTAGCTCAACATAAACATGGGCCACACCCACACACAACAACAACAACAATATCTAGAAAATGGAAAATGACGAAATTGCGTCACTCGCATGATTTATGTCCAATTGAGACAACATGGACGTGGACGTGGACTCAAACACGAACTGCGCAAAAGACAACAGACCGTTTAATTAAATTTACAAAAATTAAACTAAGCGGCGACGCCCTCAACACAAGAGTCATAAATAGTTGACTGGGTGTGGAAGGGAGGTGGGTGGGTCGGTTGACTTGTCGTTAAAATTGAGAAGACATTGCGCATACGCAGCGTGCGCCGTCAAGTGTTAATTGGCAGCGACACAAAAGTTTGCCTATCAATATATGTACATCTTTGTTGTGTGTGTATGTGTGTGCTTGAGTGTAGTAAAACAGCAAAAAATTATGCACACATACATACACATATATATATATATATATATATATTTGCTACTCATATTTGTCGTGCTGCGCCTATTTGAAATTCAAATTAGACATCAGCACTTCTAAATTTGCATAGCTTTAAACATACTCAATCGCTGTTAAGAATGCGTCTTATATCAGCATTTTTTTTTCTTGCTGCTGTTTTCATTTGCTTAATTAGTCAGCGCATACAAAACGCCAAAAAGTATCTGTTGCTACTCAAAAAAAAACAAAAACAGAAAAAAAAAGTATCTTTTGCACATTACGCAAAATTTACAAGTGGCATTTTTAACGGTTTGACTTGCAGCTGGTTTGCGGCAGCCTAATGAATTGGCCAGTTTTGGCGGCTTTTGTGGCCAAACTCTGATGGCATCGCTGTGTGTCCAACGCGTCGTCAACGACGTATCCGATTGCGGTGTGAATTTGAATTTGATTGCATTGCCAAATGCCAGCCTATGGGACGTAATGTGTCGTTTTAATGTCTCGCATTTCAGCTAAGTTTTTTAAGCGAGCAGCTCTTTGAATTTCATTATGCGATTGGATTGGTTCAAGCTGTCTGTGGCTGCACGCAAAGCGTACTTCAAGTTGCCAACTGTCAATTGAAAGCCAATACATTGAGCCACAATGTAAAATGAGGCAAACAAATTGCCAAATGGGTTCATTAGAGTTAACCCCGCAAAGTAACCGATCGCTATTTGGATTTGTTTATGCGATAAAGCTGGAAAATTGTTGTTTAAAGAGCTCATAAGCTGGAGTCTATTAGTGTTTATTTATCGGGCTATAGTTTTGGCATAAAGTGTTAATTCGAATTCTAATCGAAATGCTTCCCTATTTTTTTCCCCCTTCATGTTTTTCTAGATCTAGAAGTTGGTCTCTTCCTACCCATTTTGTTTAAACTAGGCAAATTATGAAGTTATTTGATTTTTAATAAATATTTTTCATATTAGTTTTTCTTCTATAAAAATTATTTATCCTTAAAATAATTATTATTTAAAATTTTGTACCGATATTTAACCGATTTTTTTTAATCAGATTATATATTTTCGAAAAAGATCTAGAGTAAATTATATATAAGTTAAATTAAAACTAGTCAAATACCTAATTTATTTTATTACCAAAAACATATATAAAAAATTGCTATAAATATTTCTTAACATAATTTCAATAAATTCAGTCAATATTAATTGCTAGGTATTATCTTAATACATATAATAAATACATCAATTTTCAATTATTTTTGTTTTTAAGTCAACAATTATCAAATGCTGGCTATTTTAAGCGTTCAATTATAAACTTAAATAAAATCGCCGACAAATGACTTCTGTGTGCAAATTGTAAAAATAAACAAAACTCAAATTCCCGATAAGTGTTTACATTCATTTTGTTCATTTTCTGCCATTTGCTAAGTGAATTGTCAATTTTAAATATGCCGCAAAGTTGAATAAATAAAAATTACAATTGCATTAAATTATACAGCTGAGTATAAGAAGAAGAACTGCAATCACATAAAAAGCACAAAGTTCAAGTGTAGGGAAAAAGAAAATTGCAAACAAATCTTTAAGCTATCAGTGCAAAACTCTCCTCGCCACAAGATACTTTATGGCACAACAGAAACTTGCATTTAGGCCAAATAAACAACCAAACTGAACTCCAGAGTTGGCCGCCCCTCCCCACCTCCCAGAGCCACACAATGCGCGTAAATCAAGATAAATGATTTGTCGCCGAAGGCAACAGAAATTCAATTAGCCATTATTAACCATTTCATTTCATAAACAACCAACCGAAAATAATCGTGAAGTTACAAATTAGATCTGAATAGTTGGGGATGAAAAGCTTTGCGAATCACATCGCTTGGCCATGGTCAATAATTGTCAATTGACTTTGGCCATTAGCTTTGATGATCCTGTGCCCGAGTGCCAGTCGAATGTCGTAAAAGAAAACGAGTCCGGAGGACATGAGAAGAAGGCAGCAAAAAAGCGGAAAGACGGGCTATCTCCATCATGCCGAAGACTAAATACCCTTACAGGTATTTTATTAAAAAGTTTTCAAATGTGTGAGGGGAACAGTAAAGTTCGTAATATCTGAGTCTGGCCAGGATATCTGAAAACTGTTCTATCGTTAGTGCCTATGGCAGCTATACGATTAAGTGGTTCGATCCGCCCAATTCAGTTTCTGAATGAGACGACAACTATATATACTTTAAATACTGAGAGCCTAGTTTGCTCAAGAAGAGAGAGGTTGGAAGACGAACTCAGCAGATGATACTATGTGAAGTCGGATTGGTCTCCTCTTTTGGGTAACACATTTCGTGACAAAATAACTATTCCCTCAGCAAGGGTATTTCGAAGAAAAAATGTGCCACAATTCGAATCAATAAGCCAGGCAAAAATTTTATTTTCATTGAAATGCAGAAGACGTCGACGACGACGAGGAGCGAGTGAAAGAAATTCCAGTTTGTGAATTTGGCCAAAAGAAATGCAGCTTTGGAGCCCGCGAGCTGCAGCTTTCTCGGGCGTTTGCAACGGGCTGCGGCTATAACTATGGCTTAACTTGGCTTTGATTTTTGGCTTTTTTTTGGGTGTTTTTTCTTCTTTTTTTTTAACTGTTTTCGGGCTGACTGCGCTTTTGGTTGGACCTCTGCCTGGCTGCCTTCTGCGCAGTTACTAACTCAGCGCGGAGATCGTGACCGCGTGTTTTAAATGCATAATGACCGTAAAGTAGTTGATGTAACTACGTAACCGAATTGTGCTGCCAATAACAACAACAACAACAACAACTGCAACTACAACAACATGCATATCGAATAAGGAGCAGATTTTTTTTTGTATTTTGGTCACACAAGAACGTGGCACAGGCTGCGCCCCGCCCCCCACGACCCTGTCTCGCTTTCAAGCCGTCTTGGACCATAGCAAAGGTTAAGCTGTTTAACCAAAAATTATGAATTGCTGCATTATATTTTATTATATAGTTTTTATGGCCAACGTAGTTGTTGTTGTTCGACTTGGGCTTCGTGTCTGCTCTGGTAACAGTTATAACTTTATTTAGTTTTAATAAGCATTAGTACATAGAAAAAAATAATAATAATATGCCTGCAGATATGATTCGGGCCTTTGGGCTAAGTTCATGTTAGGTCAACTGTGAATTTATATTCGAGCGGCATTTTTAAAAGTTGTTCAAGAAAAAATGCAACACATAAATGACAGGTATTTGCTGGGTGACAACGCTTTGACTAAGTTTGGGGAGAAGGTAATGTAAAAATGGGCAATGGATACATTTTTGTCAAGGAAGGCCATATTGCGGAAATATATCTTTATATTCAAGAAAGATAAAAGGGTTTCTGGAGAGATCAAATATAAGCTGATATATACGAAGCTTATATAAGTATTAGAGATCTAAGCCAGAGGATATGATATATTTTTCTTTCATTATCTTTCGGTATAGATGAGGCATTTTTTTTTAATGCCTGTAAGTTCGGTTTGTAATATTAAAAAAAATTTGAATTGTGGTTAAGAACTCTTGTACAATTGTTTTCACTACATATTCTTGTTATTTTAATACGATTTTTTAAATGTTTCGAGAGATATAGAGACCTTTTTTTATCTTTTACACCGATATTTGAAAGCTTAAAGCCAACAATAATATGATCAGTTAGAAAACATAAATGTTTGCTAAATTTGAGAAAATTTGAAATTTAACATTACAACATTCAATCGGTTTTTTGGTTTAAAGAAAAAAAAATCGCCTGCTTAGAAAAAATTACTGAAAACAAATAAATATTTATATTATATTATATGTAAATAAATATGTTTTTTTGCAACTTCTGGTGTTTGGATAAAAATTACAAAATAGAATAGATTTTGGGGCTCATATAATTTCATAAGTGGTATACAAAATTTCTGATGGATGCATTTTAACACATCATAAAAAGTTTGTATTATATAAATAAAATTATAAATTTTTTTTTGAAAACCTTAACCTGGCTACTTAAAAAATTAAATAAAAAAAAAGGTACATTACGTTTATATCTAGTATATGTATTATTTTCTAGTCAAACGTTTTGCTATTGGCCGAAATGTTTAATATCTGACATTGCGATCAGTTTGATTGCAGCTAAATCTTGGCTCTGAGTTTAACTGATACAGCATCAAGGTTTCTGAGTGAGAGGGCGAGCTGGGATGAAATGGAAAAACGCGCCCAAAAATGATTCTAATCAAAGAGGTCTCTGTTCGAAACTGTTAATTACAAGGCACAAAAGGCACGTCTGTGGCAATTTTCAGAAAGTAGCGCAGGCGATCAATGAGCATCCACAAAACGATTTGGGCAAAATGGAAAAAAACAACACAGGCAGACATAGGCAAGAGGCAAAGCCAAAGCCGCAGCACAAAGGTTGGCCAAGAGTCGTAGCCAAAGCTAAAACCAACACAAAATGTTGGTCAAAAAGTGTGGCCAAGACATGAAAGCTACAACTCTTAACAACTGCAACAAACGACAGCAATCAGGCAGCCAGTGCGGTCAGCGGGGGCGAGGCGATAGGGTGGCGGTTGCAAGAGCTAGACGAGGCCAACAACCAGATTGGAAGATGCACCACAGAGCCCGCGCAGACATGTCGTCAACGTGCCGCCGCCTGGGTCCAAGGCAGAAGATCTACTAAGTCTATACCCGGTATTTTACTACCGCGCGATCGTGTCTATCACAAGCAGGTGGGTGAGCAGCGGGTTGGTGGGACGTTGAGGAGGAGGGGGATTGGGCACTGCAGCGATTGATCGGCTGCAGTTTATGGACTCATGCAGCCAATTCAAATGCAATTGCGCTGCACAAGAGTCGAGAGTTTCAGTTGAGAGTTGCAGTCGCAGCGCTGGCAACACGAACTCGCGACGCCCCCTCACAATGGACCAAGAAACCCCAGCCCAGGCAACAAAACCCGTAGATCGACACACACAGCGTTTGGGAAATTGGAAAATTATTTTCATGGCTCTAGCTGGACTTGGCCAACAACAAAAATAACAACAACAACAGACTTGGCCAAGGAGCAGTCGTTGCGGCTTGTAAGTAAGCGACATAAACGAGTGTTGTATTAATGTTCATAATGTGGTATCTCGACGTCAATAAACGTCGCCAGCTCCAAAGGGGGGAGCAGTGTAGCAAAATGAATGAAGGGTTGTTGAGGGGGGGGGGGGGGTTGCCGTGTAGTCAGTGTCGCAGATCGAGGACAGCCGCCGCAACGTGCGCCCGGGACAGCTGCTTGACATGAGCAGCCAACGGTTTGACAAAGCAGCACACATGAGCGGTGGACTTAGGGGGGTTAGGTGTGTGGAGGGGGGTTTTCGCAAAGTTGCAGTTGAATGCATCGCTGCATTTTTTGGCCACCGTAAAGTGGACAATGGGCAGATAAGCGTGGCAGACAAAGCAGCAACAGCTGCGCAATCTTCAACTTAAGCTGACTAAACTTAAACTAAGTTTGGCATTTAAAATAAACTTAAACAAAATAAATATGCAGAGCCTCGATTTTGTCTTTTGAACAAATAATATTTGCATACAAATATTGTGCATTTATTTCAGTTGAAAGAAAAACTAACAAAAATAAATAAATAAAAAAATCTAAAAAAAACCATTAAAATTAAGCCATGTGCCATATTAGTTTTAAAAGTTTAATATTTATGTAACTGCTTACTATATATGTAAGTATGTAAATGTGTATGTGTTAGGCATATGCAAGTATGTGTGTGTGTGTGTGTGAGTGCAAGTTGCTTCCAAAGTCCAGAGTTGGTGCCGAAATGTGTGTGTACGAAGCTGCTTTGTGTGTGTGATTTTGTATTTTTCTTTCGCTTTGGTTTAAAAATAAAAAATGCAAAATTAGTAATCGAAAAAAATGTATATGGAAAACTATGAAGGCAGCTAGTTTATAGCTAAAATGTTTTGTTAGTTACTTGAACAAAGTAACTAGGTGCATTCATAGTTTTCGTTGGGATGTGGCATATGAATCGGGCATTATACTATATGACTTTGGCTTAATGCCCGACTCATAGGTATTGCCAGAGACCTCAATCAGCAATTATTTGTTTTGAATTTTTCATCATTTCAAGGTTTCTTGGCAATTGAATAGTTTAAGCAAATTTTTCATAAAACTATATTGTGTATAATTGCTTTAAAAACGATCAAATCCTTTTTATTTTAGATAATTTATAATAATAATAATTAATGAAATATAAATAACTTGATCATGAAAAAAAATAAAATACAAATTAAGAAAGGAAAAATAATTTCAATGTTTTTAAATCTTTTATAAGTATTATTATAAAAAATTTAAAAATAGAGAAATTATTTTAAAAAGTTAAAAAGATTTACAACGGTAAATTTTTTTGAAATAAAAAGTTTTTAAAATATAACATAATTAATTAGTTAAAATTGAGAAAGTTAAGATGAAATATATGAAAATATTAAAGAAAATAATAATAATTAATTAAAAACAAAATCTAAAAAAAATACTGTGTGATAATATTTCTATGTGGAAATTGGGAAATTTTCTCAACAATTTGGAATTTTAAATTTTCTTCTACTTTGGCTGCACAACAATTTAAAAGAGTAAATGGTACTAAAAACATTTATCAAATTATTGATAAACCTGTTCTCCAAAATAATTTATATGCTTGAACTTGTTCTATTTGTGCTCAAAGCAAAGTTTAAACTACATAGATTAACTAACTAAGGTAAGTTATTTAAGTAATATTTTTCTGGTATTAGTATCATATAATAGTATAGTATTAATAGGCAAAACTCAAATGTTGTTAACTAAATTAAAAATAAGCAAAAATTAAAAAACAAAATACGAAACAAAAACGAAACGCTTAAAATTAGTCAACAAGCTTAAAGAATTAGTAACAAATGGAACACAAGTAAAAACACAGGTTAGGTTTAAATTTTTTGTTTAACAGCAACAGCAGTGTATATTCTTAAGTCTTCTTCGAGCTTCTCGCTACGCTTCTCCCTACACTTTCCTTATCATTTTCTTTGTATGCATTTTTTGGTAAAGTTTTTTGATCTAAGCTAAATTACGACTAAAATAAGTTAAGACTTAGTTTAAAGGCAATAAATACATAAGCAAATAGGCACTAAAATTAACTTTACAAAAGATACATATTTAAGTACTTCATAGATACATAGAGAATAAGCTATACATAGATAGATAAATTAGCTAAACTAAACTGTTCGATAACTGACTAACAAACAGATCGACTGACTCTTTAGGAGCTGGTTAGGGGCTACAGCTGCCATCTACTGCCCGCTAGGCTATATGGCGAATATCTATAGCTGGGACTACCGAAGCTGGCGCCGCTGCCATTGTGAGCGGCCGCCGCAGCCGCTGCTGCCGCCGCCGCCGCATGACTCACCCCAAAGGGCGTACTGTGATGGAACATATCAAAGGCCGAACCGAAGGCGCTGCGCGGCGGCGTCTGATAGAACATGGCCGCTGCAGCAGCCGCCTGCTGCTGTTGCTGTTGCTGCTGCTGCTGCTGCTGGCCCGGCGTCTGATATGCTCCAGCCAGTGAGCTGCTCGCTGTGCTGCTGCTGGTGGTCAGTGCGGTGGCGGCGGTGGTTGCGACTGTGCTGCGCGGCGAGGCGGTGTGTGAATTGTGGGAGGATGAGGCGCTGTGGGAGTGTGTGGGCAGCGAGGCGCCCAGACCGCTGCTGTTATTGTGGCTGTTGCTCGAATCGCCGGCATTGCCATTGGAGCTGGCATAGAGCGCGGCAAGGAGATCGACCTCAGCATTGGCATTGGCATTGGCATTGGACTTGGCGCAGCTGCTGAAAGCGCTGCCGGCGGAGGGCACAACAGGCCCAGAAGCAGCAGCAGCTCTGGGCTTCGATTCGCTGGGAATCGGCTGCAACTGCTGCTGCTGTTGATGCTGTTGCTGTTGCTGCTCCGCCTGCTGCACTGCAGCCTCGACGCCCGCCACGCTCTTCATGAAGGTAGCCAAATGTAAGGGCGCCTGCTGCAGCTGGGTCTCAAACTCCAAGCGATTCAACTCATCGAGATGCTCACGCACCACGGCAAGCACATCATCATTGCTGCAATCGGCGAGGCCAGCATCGCTGGATGTGGACGCCAACGCTGCCGGCACACGTTTGCCCAGCAGAGCTGAAACTTTGGTTAGCAGTGCGGGCACATCCTTGTACAGGATGTCCAGCAACTTACCGGTGGTGAAGAGCACAATTGCCTTGAGGCAGGAGTACTCGGCGGAGTCGACATGCAGCGCCTTCAGCTTCTCCACCTGCTCCTGGAAGATGCGTATGTGATCCATGAAGGCCACCACACGATCCGCGGCCATTGGTGAGGCATGCAGACCCGCGGCGGCCAACAGCGGCGCCACATGCAGCGGCATCGAGCATTGGCTGGCATTTAGAACGAACAGCTCCGACCAGACGAGACGCAGCAGTGCCACCTGATCGGTCACCTGCAGCTCCGGAAAGAAGGGTATATTCTTGGCCCACTCGACGGCCGAGAAGAGCAGACGGGCGGCCAGCTCGCAGATGTTGTCAATGCCCATAATATTGTTAGGCTGCAGGCACTGGCCGTATCGGGATGTGGGATATGGCTCGGCGCGCAGCAGCAGCGAGATGTAGGAACTGAGGTACGAGTGCCCATTGAAGCCAGCCACGCCCATTGGATCGCCGTTGGCCAGCTGATACTGGCCGTGCATGCCGGCCAGGCCGGGCTGTGTGGGCGGCACGCGGCCACGTTGAACAGCTGCAATGAGAGAGAGAGAGAGAGAGAAAATTAGTATCTGTATCTGTGTGTATGTGTAGTTGTAGATGTATCTGTATCTGTATCTGTAGCTGTAGCTAAGTAATTCAATATGCGCGCTCTTTTGTGCGCTTATTTTGACCGCGACATCACACGCCGCACAATGTTGCCCCATTCAACGTTGTTGGCAAAGCTGCCACAACGCACAATGCCTATCGGGCGCCTCAATCTGTACGCAACCTCTTCGAGACGCTGCGCTCCCTTTTGTTCTCGTCCCGACAACGTCATAAGATACTTTTCTGCTTTGCAATACCTTGAGCTACCCTTAAACCCTTTTCTTTTTTTTTAGTTTTTGTCTTTTGCTTTAACATTTTCAATCTCGTACCCGAATGCAACCCCCTTGTTGCCACAACTGCTTAGATATGCAAATTTGACTAAATACTTTCAACGCATCTTTAAGATACAAGATATGTACATGCACGAGTGTGTGTGTAACTGTTGAGCAGAACTTAAGCCTAAAATGTATAAACAAGGCGGAAGCAACTAGTTAATCAAAGCTCAGTCTACAGCTGTTCGAATTGAGCGTCAAAGCTCAGCAACAAATAAGAGCGTAAGCTTGCAGGGGAGATCACAAAAAACGGCAGAGTATTTGCTCTCAGCATGGTAAAAAGTTGATCGCAAGAGAATTTTAGAATAAATATAACTTGAAGTTAAATATATCAAAGTGAGCATAAGAAAAGCTTCTGGCAAATTATATTTATGAAAGGTTATGAAAAAGAGAGCGAATGAGCTGCATTATGATAGAACCGAGAGAGCCAAAAATATTGCTGATTCGAATAAAGTTCAAAGCTCTTCAAGAGATAATTTAAAATGAGCTTTTTTTTGCTAAGTTGAGAGATAAACTTACTTAAAAGCTGCGCCCGAGCAAATCCTGTCAGCAGAAAGAGAGAGCGACAGGTTATGAAAGAGAAAGAGAGAGATTACTGATTACTGAGTTGAGAGACAAATGAACACAATAGCTGAACTTTGAGAGCACAGAAAGGCTTTTCCGGCTTTAAATGAGAGATTTTAAAGATGAAGGGAAAGAGAGATATTGCGCTTGATAGATTAAAACTCTGCTCTGACTATAATTGAGAGAGACATTTGGAAAACTAAGTTTTCATAGAACACAAGCGATTCTTGGTTAGTGAAAGCTCCAGAAGAAACTAAGACAGCTTTAATGCTAATATGAGAGTTCTTTCGAACTTGAAAAACTTTATAAAAACTGTATTTCCATATCAAACTGACGCAAAAGCTGGCGTTTAGGAGCGCTCAATGGCTCTTAGTACAAGCGCATTCCTTAGCTTTGAACTTTGACCCGCAATTCCCTCAGCTAAGAGCTTACACCTGCATAGGATACAAAGTTGAGACAACTATTTAAGAGGCTTGGCCATTCTCCAAAACGCATTTGTTACATTTATTTGCGAAAAACAATGGAGCTTTGCGCGTTGATACTTGAGTGTGGTTAGCAAATGTGGGTTAGCAAAGGTTTTTTTTTACACCTCAAAATATGAGGTACACACCTAGACGGAGTCATATGCACCACACCTAACCCCACTCTAGAGTTTGAAGCAATAGGCTGGGTTCCAAAACTAATCGAAGCAAAAAAATCGCGAAATTCAGCCCAAGGCGCTGAAAAGCAAATAAAGCTAAACATGATTATTGATCAGGCCAAGTGTTGGGCACAGCCATTGTCTAAGGCTCAACAAGCACACACACAGATGCACACACTGACACACACAGATGGACGCTCACACACACATCTGGCCAGGCAAAAGTAACGTCTTTTGTTCAAGCGAAAAGCGAAAGCATTTCTGGTCACTCGCACAAAGCGCACAAAAATCGTAAAAAAAACACAGGACCTGGTTTAGGATGGGATAACAGAAAAAAAGGGAAGAAGTGTATTTGTTTATTGCCTTTACCCAAGCAATTAAGTGCAAGGGGGTTGCAGAACCGGAACTACCAAAAGACTTGACCACTGTCCAGCGCCGGACGAGACAATTATTTATGAAATACATTTGCGTAATTTGCGCAGGCCGCTGATCCTCAACATGTCTAGGCAGGCAGAAGACGCTGCTAACCGGTCTGGTGCCCTCTCTTTCACTCCAGTGTCCAGTTTTCGAGCATGGGCTTATTTATGCGCCTGGGAAAATATATTCCACACTGACCACAGTGACTCAAAAGTTGCCAGACTGACCGCAACTGCAGCGCAGATCGACTCCAGATAACACAGCAGCCAGCAGCATCAACAGCAACAACAATAAACAAGAAGAGGAAGAAGATTCAGCAGGAGTAGGAGATGGCAGAGTCTTCTTCTCTCTGCTCTGCCATTTTGCTTGATTACTTAATGAATGCATTCTGTGGGCCAGCGCACGTGCTCAAGTCTCTCGACTGCGCTTTTGTTTTGGTGTATGTGAATGTGTTGTGTGTTAAGCAGCGCACTTATGTAATCGATAAACGATATACAAGTCATCGAGTCATCGCGTCATCGCACATGTCAAGCAGCCACTTGAGCGCGTGCCCAAGTGGCCCACAGCCAATTGTGGCCAAGTGGATAAAGCATCTAAAACCGAGCCATACTTAATCCGTACCCAAAGGGTTTTGAATGGATATCTATGGAAATGCAATTTCCGGCCTCGGGTTCAAAATGCCTTTCACTTTATATGCGAATTTGCGTTTTAAATATTTTCCTTGCTTTTAATGTACTTTGTAGCGGATGACGTTAAGTTAAAATTTACATTGTTAATTATAATGCATATATATTCATGGGATGATATAAGAGATTTAAAGTGTCATGCGAATTTAGCTAATCGTCTTTCTAAAATTTTTTTGTACATATAAATTAACATGATCGTTAAGACTCTAGCTAGGATATCTGTTGCTTCTTTATTGAAAAAAAAAACGAGAAAGAAGTGCTATCTTCGGCACACCGAAGATTTAATACCCTTGCAGACCCAACCTTTTCAAAATGCTCATAGTGCTTTGCCCGTATCTAAGAAGCACAGGGAAAATAGTTAATGCCGAGTATGGTTAAGATATCTTGAAAAACAAAACAGGTTTCCATACAACAACTTAATTTTCGACCGATCGTTCCTATGGCAGCTATATGATATAGTTGCCCGATGTGAATACGATTTTGCATAAGTGGAGGGAGCATAGTAAAACTAATAAATGCCGAGTTTGGTCAAGATATCTTGAAAAACAAAAAATTCCATACAACAGCATAATTTTCGACTGATCGTTCCTATGGCAGCTATATGATATAGTTGTCCGATCTTAATAGAATTTTGCATATATATGGGGACCGTAGTAAAACTAATAAATACCGAGTTTGGTTAAGATATCTTGAAACACATAAAAATTTTCTATACAAAAACTTAATTTTCGACCGATCTTTCCTATGGCAGCTATATGATATAGTGGTCCGATCTTAATAGGATTTTGCACATATATGGGGAGCCTAGTAAAACTAATAAATACCGAGTTTGGTCAAGATATCTTGAAAAACATAAAAATGTTCCATACAAAAACTTAATTTTCGACCGATCGTTCCTATGGCAGCTATATGATATAGTTGCCCGATCTTAATAGGATTTTGCATATATATGGGGAGCGTAGTAAAACTAATAAATACAAAGTTTAGTCAAGATAACTTTATAAACAAAAATGTTTTTCATACAAGAACCTACTTTTCGACCGATCGTTCCTATGGCAGCTATATGATATAGTGGTCCGATCCAGCTGGTTTTGACATATGAGCTGCGTGCAACAGAAAGAGGGAATTCTGCAAAGTTTCATAAAGATAGCTTTAAAACTGAGAGACTAGTTCGCATAGAAACAGACAGACGGACAGACGGACAGACGGACATGGCTATATCAACTCGGCTGTTGATACTGATCAAGAATATATATACTTTATGGGGTCGGAGATGTCTCCTTCTATGCGTTACACATTTCACGACAAAATTATAATACCCTCTGCAAGGGTATAAAAAAAACAAATAAACAAATGCACGTTAAGACAGGGTCTTAATTCCATTCGAAAGCGTGAAAAAATCGCGGAAAATGGTTGTATGACACATTTTTCTTTACCATCCGATCGGTCAAAAAGTCATTTTCAAGGATATTTGCTTAAATTCATTTGTATGCTGTTTCACACTTTTCCAAAAATGGGGTGCATTCTTGCTGGAAATGTCAGTCATAGATTTAGTTGGTGAAGTTGCGGGTTCAAACTCAAAATCTGTATAATACAAGCTCAAACTCATATTATCCATATATGCTTCTAATTTTTTTTAATTGAAAAGCGTTTGATCATAGGCTATAATTGTAAAAAGTTCAGGGATTTTATATGCAAGGCATCTTCAAAAAGTTAATTTTCATTTCTGGAGCTTCTAATTTAATAGCAACTATTAATTCATTATAAAGTATATGTTAATCAACTAATAATATATAAAAATATCTTTTCCTTTTTTACTGCTTTTTATCTAGCTACAGCCTAGTTTTCATATATCTGTCGAACTGCACACAGAAACCGCCCTTCAACCCTCTTTTTTGATAGCTTGCCGACCAGTTCCAAGAGTTCAAGTTCAACTTTACTGTTTCAGCAGTAAATTCCGTCGCTTTAATTTATTTTTCCTCACAAAAATGCCTTTATAAACTGAAATTAATTTTACTAGCCCAACCCTTGGCTGTAGAAAATGAAAAACAAGTTTCTGCACAAATTATTGTCCAGTACGCTGACCCAACCGAAGCCCAGTCCGGTCCAGCCCCTCCAATTGACACTGCAATTTAATTAGAGCGACCTTCGTGCCTTGATTTTATGCGCCTTTTCAGGTTTTTTTTGGTTAGAATTTCTTGACCAGGTCTCCCAAGGCATAACCTTTGTGCCGCTTTTGTGCTAAGTAGCGCCCGAAAAAAAATGAGGCAAAAAAATAAAAAAGGGACCGAAATTCTATGCAGAAAAGACATTTTCTCACGATTTCTCGGCGCTGATATAGGTTTTGGGCTATTGTGAACTAGTTTTACGCAGAACTTGTACATTAGGAAATGCCATGAGAGGAACGGGGTGGTGGAACCAAAGGTGCTGAACTCTTTTGCGTTTTTATTATGATGATAAAGTTGACAAGTTGTTGTCAGTGCTGGTGGCAGCCACAGGTAATCGCATATTTAATGGCCCAAACAGGTAGCCCACAGCTGGGTTCATGCCGTGTCATTAGCCACAAACAACATTTTGTACTTGGCCTAGGCAAATTTTTTACTATTATTATTTTTTTTTTTTCGGCTGCTCGTTGTTCATATTTTTGCGCAATGCCCAAACGCGACGAGGCTTAAATCAATGTTTAGATACATTTAATTACAATGCGGCTATAGCTGCATTTTAATTGCCTCGTTCTTAACCCAAATCGCAGCAACAGCTCAACATCTGCTGTTGTTAGGAAGGGGGGTTATTAGCATTTTGCGAAAAACCTGTCAATATTAGTGCAAATAATAACAGCTTTGTACAGCAGCTGGACAGGTATCTATCCCTCCCTCTCTCTTGCCCTCTCTCTCTCTCTCTCGGCCAGACAGATGTTAATTGTTAATGCCGACAACTACAGCTAACCAACTAACCAACTAGCCAGTCAAGCAGTCACCCAACCAGTCAGTCAGTCAGTCAATCAGTCATTCAGTCATTCAGTCAGTCAGTCATGCAGTCACCCATTGATCGATTCACAGTGGCGTCTGTCAATTTGTCGTCGTTTGCCAATTTGCGGACAAAACATTTGGCCCAACTATGCCAAATATTTGTGCAGCAAGCACTGTTGCATGCTGCCTTTGATTAAGTCGAAGCATGCACTGCAAAAAATCAAGAGATACAAACTAAAAACACACAAAATATTGTTTTTTGTTTAACTTTAGTGTTTGAACCCCTGAGTAGATGGAATATAGATAAACATGTCGAGCACTTTCCGTCGTTCCTAGCCAGCACGACTTTATCCTTAAGCTGTCCAGCTTTTACTCCCAATTTTCTTAGAGTGTATGTCACTAGATCTAATCGAATTAACTTTAATAAATCATTTGTGCCTAGCGGCTGCGTGCCACCAGAGGCACAGAAAAAAAGTGTCGACACACAAATTACAATATCGAGCTAATTCCTAATGCGAGTGTGTATGCTCAACTATTCAAGTATTCAATTATTCAACTGTTCCGAGTATTCGATATATTCGAATACTCATGCTCATTCAATGTTGTTTTTTTAATTATTAACCAGCGACCGAACAAGTTTGCATTTGATCTCTAGGGTCAATATGCTGTACCCAATGCTTAATTGTTTTTTTTTCTGTGTACCCTGTAACCATAAAATGTGTTAAGTAGACATGCTCAACTTGTGCAAGCTTGTGTAAGACATAAAAGAAGTGATGCGGAATACATTACTTCATATATTTATTATAGGGTAACGCCTAGTCGGGCACGTACTAAAAAGTCTCAGCTTAAATAGTTATTACATTGTTGTGTGTGTGTCTAGACAAATGACTCTATGGTTTGCTTTTAATGTAGTTTAGGAACTTGGCTAAATGTCATGCATGGAGTTTGATATGTAATGTAATATGACAATGATTGGATAGCTAATTGGTTGTCTATAAGTCGTATATGTGGACAGCTTATTGAGTTATCTGGAGGACTTTTAATGATGCATTAAGATGCCAATAGTTTTAGCTATTTAGAGGATTAAGAATTAGCTGAGTAAAAGGAGATCTATTAAGCTTTAACTGTTTTGAATTTATCTTTAAGTTATTAAGAGAACTCCCAAAACTCAGACAGTTTTTTTTTCTTAGTAAGACTTACTCTCTAAGAGCCTGGTAACAGCTGTATCATCCGAATGAGGCGTTCGGAAAGCTTTTCAATTGGGCTCTTTAGGTTTGGGGCCTATCATCAAGTGGCACTTTGACTGTAGCCACATTCTTTGGCAGACCACTTGGCACAGTCCAAATAAACCCCAGCAAGTAGAGCGCCCAAAAGAGCAGCGCACAGTTGTCAATTGTGTGAAAATTCCTAGCATGTGACATTTAGTTGTCCCATTTATTGGACCGAATGTAACCTACATACAATTGAAAATCAAATTTTATTTCTTGTTCTACTTCCGTTTCTATCGTTGTTTCATTTTTCTACTCGCTCGTCTTTTCGCCTGCGGTCTCTGCGCATTTAATTTATTTATGTATTTGCCTCACTGTTTGACTTTTAATTGACCCACACCCAATGCGAGAAATTTCGAATATTGTAGTATATAGTACATAGTATATGGCAGCGGTTAGTTGGGAGGACTTACCTTCGCGTCGCATGCCCATTTTGAGGCACTTTTTCAAACGGCAATATTGGCATTGATTGCGATGATGTTGATCTATGGGACAGTTTCTGCTGCCCCGACACGAATATGTCAGGTTGCGTCGCACGGATCGCTTAAAGAACGATTTGCAGCCTGAAAATAAGCAAAAGAAATGAACAATGTGGAAATTAATGAAATGAATAATTGATATATATTTAAACATTTTTAAGATTTTCGTAATGTATAACAAAGTTTATAAGAAAGCAAAATATATTAATAAATAGCTATTGTTTGCAAATGGATTATTGAGCTCGCAGTAGGTAATTCGATTAATCAATCTAAGATAGCAATATTTTTGATTGTATATATAATAATAAATAAAATATTGCTGGAACAGGATATCTTAAACAAGCAGAGCGTTCCAAATCGATAGTCGATGGTTAGAACTATCAATGTCGATATTGGTCTTAATAAACAGACCAACGATAGTCAGAACTACTAATATCTATAGTCGACAGTCAGAGTTGCCAATATCGATAAAAGTATTAATAAAAATATCGATAGTGGATAACCAGAGCTTTCAACGTCTATAGCTAGATTTATCGAAAGCGAAAGTAGACTTAATAATTAAGCTTTATTACAATGTTTCCTCTAAATTATGAAATCTTTAATCGACTATTCTAAAATCTGAGCATTGTACACCGCCAACTGTTATCTATAACAAATTTGAGCCAAATAAATAGTACCATAATTTGTGCCTTGGATCATCCCAAATTAATTTTTTCATTTGCCTGAAACATGTTTTTTTCCATCTAATACCAAGTTCGCATAATGCAACAGCCTTACAGCACTTTTTTATACTCTTCTCTTTCGCAGAAAACATTATGACCTAGCCTATATGCCAGCATACCTTTAAGTATGCCTAAGCCAAGCTAACGCTCGCTGTCAGTTACACCTTCGAATGCTTTGCAACAAGCAAAACAAATTCCATGGCACTTGGATCAAAAAAAGAAAAGAGGGGCAACAAAAATTGTTACCACTTGTAAAGCAAAGTATCCAAAGTGCAGAACATGCCACCAAATGCGGCAAGTTGCGCTTCACTTCATGACACTCGCAGTTGTTTGTCCTAGTCCTGGTATAAGCCAACTCGCCCTCAACCTCTCTCTCTGCCGCGCTTGTTGCCCATGTCAATGGTCATGTTACACGTTTCATGGCTTAACGCCTTCCATAAAATTACCTTTAATGGCTTTCAATTAACAAAGTGTATCTTTGGGCACGAAGATACGAATGTATCTCTGAGTGGCCAGAGCCTAAGTAGAAGAAGAGGCAGTGCCTCCTATATTGCTGGGCGGCTGCTGAATTTTAGTTTTTGGCTTCACGAATTTACTGTTAAGACTGAACACTAGACAAGCTGTTGTTGTTTTTGTTGCTCTTGCTGTGGGCAGCCATTAAGCACTCGCTGATATAGTTGGAGCCCGGCGCGTTGTTTACAAGCTTCACTGCAATTTGATGTCGCCATGTAGCTGAACATGTGTATCACTTGCGTGCCGCCTGCCCCCTTCCGTTTCCCTGCACACTGGCAAAACGTGCGTCCTGTTTGGGTGGGGGACCCACTTTGGCTGCGGGGGCCGCACTTTGGGCCATGCCACACAAAATTTCTCACAATAACTCAAAACAATGGCATATGCTCATAAAATTCGTTTTAAGCTGTAAAATCATCATCAAACAAAATATGTAAGGCCCAGTGCCAGGCACAGTCGCAGCCATGTCTCTAGCTATGCGATCAGCGCTATAAAAGCTATTCAATGCGCGCTCCTGCCTAAGCATTCAGGGGGCGAAGGGTGGAGGAGCCAACGGACGCAGACAGGGCAGACTGCGTTGCGATCGTGTGCACCAAAACGTGCCCAGGCACAGTGAATTTAAAGCTATTAGCCCAAGTCGATCAACAAATGCGCTACAGTTGGGCTTAAAGCTGATGAAATATAAAAAAAGTTTAGCTTAAAGATGTAAAGCTCTTAGATAAAGATAAGATTGATCCCTTGACTAAGAAGCCTAAATAATAAATGTTAAACAGGAGCTCTTAAAGCAGACAGAAAGCTTTTGATATAGCGGAAAAGGCACATCATTTTAATTTGTTCTTCATAAGAGAAAGTCTGAAGCTTTGCGAGCTTTAAGACAAACTAAAAGCAAAATTGACTATTGCGAAGCTTTACTATTTTTGAAAGCTCCATGCTTGATAAGGGGTTTCTATGTTCGCAAAAACTGTAAAAGCTTGCAAAGGCTTTTTAAATAAATTTGTTAAAGCTTACAGTGGGAAATTACTTCAAAATAAAAGCGTAAAGGAGCTACTTTGTAGCTTTCTACTGCACATAACTCAAGATAAGATACAGTATCTGAGTGTAGCTGCATCTAATATGAGAAGGGCATGCTGCAATGTCTAAGCTGCCAAGCCAAACGTTGGCCTCACACGCCGCGCTAGACAAGCCCAAGATGCAACTAAAAGGCATCTAGGAAATATACACACACTCACACACACACACACAGATACACACATGCACAGCACACACTTAAGCTTTTACACCATATGATCTACGAATAACGATATTGTACCAAGTCACGATTTCTGCACAAAACGTACCGTTGCCTGTGCCTCTTTTCCACTCTGTGTGGTTGTGGTTGTTATTGTTGCAGTTGTTGTTACTGGTGTGGACTGCGGGACAGTCTGGACAGGCTTAGGCCTGGCCATGGTACCTACAGCTTTTGGCCAAGCATCGAAAAATAAAAGAACTGCAATCGGCCAGGCGGCTGCCCATATGCGCATATCGCTGTTTTATCTGGAGCTGAGACGATGCGAACGCTGCGCCGTGTCGTTATTGATGAAGATACGAGCAGAAGCATTCAGCTATGAGCCAGTAAGATACCGTAAACCCCGGCCAGACGAGGGGATACGCTGGGGCTCTATGGCATATCATGTTATATCAATAACCGCAAAAGGGTGGAGCGAGAGATGCCCAAACCCAGATACAGATACAGCTACAGATACAGATGCAGCCATCGATGAAGATGCAGCTGAGGCTGTGAAGGTGTAAGGACCCAAAAAATCAAAAAAGTCACTGCGAGTGCAAAGCAACCCACTCTGTACCCAGCCAGCCCCACCCATACATACCACCCGCTGCCCTCTGGGAAGCCCTAGAGCAGCCTGGCTCTCAGGGGCCTTGCTATGGCTTCAAAAATGTATCTCATAAGTGCAGACAGTTTAGCTATAAGCCAGGCGCACTTTGCGGTAGTTTCAATTACGCTGAAGCTTAATTGCAAGCCTTGGGAGAGGGCTGGAGCGGGTCTTGAGGAGGAGTGCGGGGCAACTCTCGCGTGCGCTACGCGCCATAAAGCGTTCAATACAGTTAGACTTCCAAGAACTACAGCTAAGCTAAAGCGTTCGTTCTATTAATTGAACTTCCTGAAATGTGTGCGAAAAGGCAAGATAACCAATGCACCCCCCGTTGCCCAGTTAGCCACCACCCGCCCCCTTCCCTATACCCTATTAATGCTAGCGTGACCATGGCCATAAGACCCCCAACCATTTTCCCCATAAATGAAAGTGCAGTCAACGCGCGGCTTTTTCCGCTTGGCCGCCTCAATTTGAAGCGTGAAATTAGTTGGGGCCACAGCGGACGAGTACATATGAGTACCTTTGAGTATTTGTGCGTATCTCTATGAGTACAATGAATATATATATAAGAGTACTTCGTTATTACGCTCTTTGAGTACCCATGAGTATTTGTGAATATCTCTATGTGTATAATGAGAACCTGTGTGAGCTTCAATATATTTACGTTTTTATATATTGAGCTGTAATTGCCAATTCGAGTTTGTACAGCAAACGAGTACATATTAGTACCAATGAGTATTTGCAAATATCTCTATGAGTATTTGCATGAGTATCACTTAGCTGCAATTGACAATTTGAGTTTGGTTTTTTGGCCAATTGCATTTTTTTTGCGCTCGGTCAATGCACCGTTGCCGAGAAGTGTAACACACAGAAAGTCAATAGCAGCGACCAGACGCCGCCCCATTGTCGGCTCATTTTCTAATTATTAATACACACACACACACACACACAGGCATACACACACACCCAAAGTACACAGCTAGAGAGCCATCATTAAGTCGCAATAATTAAATATTAAGCTTACATGTGCAGGCAGCTAGTTCAAGTAATTAGCACAGCGGCTCAAGACTTGAAGGCTAGAGATGAGGGCAGGTTGTGACACGAGCAAACACGACTCAACACTAGTTGGTAAAATCTATATATTCTACTATTGAAAACTAGTAAAATTATAAATATTTTGAATGAATTCACATGGGTTAAAAGTCGTGAGAGTCGTGTCGATTGTGTGTCGATATTCCTGCTCGTGTTCGTATCGAAAACGATCTGACACGCGCTCATCTCTATTGAAGACAGGCAAACTGATGACTGAGATTGGGGCGGCGGCAAAGCCAAAGCGCAGCAAAAGCTAGACAAAGTATCTGGAGTACAACCGAAACATAATTGCAGACCCAGACACGAACCGCAAAATGTTTTAACTTGCATGCACTTCGAGTATCTACAAAATGCGCTGATTATGAACGCGCTTGAACTTCACGAGGCGGAAGCTCAGTTCCAATTGCAGTTGCTGGCTGTTGGCTGCTGGCTGCTAGTTGCAGTTGCAGGTGCCCCCCACAGCTGATTACTGGGTAACAGGTAACAGGTAACAGCAGGCAACGCCACTCGGGGTTGACATTGCTATAAAGCAGCAGGGTTTATAACTCGATATAGGTCAATGGTAAAGATACTTGTGGGAAGTATCTGAGCTCAAAGCTGAGACCCGAGTGCTGAGCTGCGATTGCAACAAACTTCTCAGCTGTGGCAAATTTAAGAACTTTCCACTTAATGAAAATGTTGCCCAGACTTAGCGAATTGTAAATTGGTTTTGTTTGAATTGCAGCTGGTTACTGTTGGCAATTGAATGTTGAAGATACTTTGATACGACTTGAGATACAAACGGTTGGAATGTTTATGAACTGCAGATACTTGTATAAGGTTCACTTCAGATCATATAATACATGGTCTTGTGTATAGAGTGTTAGCTCTTAAAATGCAGTTGTACAATACT